CAAAACCCTGAAACCCTAAGCCACAAACCCTGCTACTTTAGGTTGTGAAGCTCTAAAACCCTAAGCCCCCAAACCCTAAACTCCTAAACCCCTAAACACTCAACCCAAACCTTAAACCCTAAACCCTAAACCCTAAACCCTAAACCCTAAACCCATGAATCTTCTCCGGGAGCCCCGGCTGGTGGTGTACTTGCCCCCTGCCAGGTTCTGCCGCGTCTCCGGCACGTCCACTGGGATGCCTTGGCAGTAGGGGTTAGGGTTTAGGGGTGTAGGGTTTTAGGGTTTTAGGGTTTTAGGGTTTAGGGGCTTAGGGTTTGGGGTTTAGGGATTAGGGCTTTAGAGTTTTAGGGTTTTGCAAGGGCTTAGGGCTTTAGGCTTGGGATTTTCTAAAGGTTAGGAGTTATAGAGTTTGGGGTTTAGGGTTTTCGGGTTTTAGAGTTTTTGGGGTTAGGGTTTTAGGGCTTTAGAGTTTCAGGGCCGGAGGGGTAATCTAATCATCTGAAAATCTAAGAATGGAATAAAAGGTCTTCGAACATAAACATGCGTTAGTAAAATATGTTACTATAGCATTCTGAGAATATGATGCAACTTACAAAATAATCAATAACTAGAAGCCCTAAGCACTGCAAAGCCTCAACTACTATTTGCCGAAGAAGCCCCCCCAAAGAAACCCCCTGGTTCTTTGCAGGGAATGAGGGAATGAGGGTCCTATGTAATCCTTTGAAGGGTATACACAGGGCCCTCATTCCCTCATTCCCTACTAAGAACCAGGCAGAAAAAAGAGAGGGCTTCCATTAAAGGGTAGTATAGGCTTTTGTCTGCGGTTCTTAAGCAAAAGAATAGTAAAATACCCTAACAGACACATAGGTGTTCTTAAGGGCCGGCAGGGGGTTCAAGCGGGGTATGTAACTCAAGGTTCCCTAATACCCCCCCCCCACTACTCCGTAAGGCCCCCAAAGCTTCCCTAAGGTTCCCCAGGTACCTACCCTGAACACCAGACCCTAAACCCTAAACCCTAAACCCTAAACCCTAAACCCTAAACCCTAAACCCTGTAAAGACAAGGAGCTGAAGGAGTCCGGTGGCATCGACATGGGGATGAATCCAAGAAGGACCTGTTGATGGGTGGATGGAGAGAATCAGGGTCGGTGGCTTGGTGGCTCGGAGGAGATAGGGTTCATGGTTTAGGGTTTAGGGTTTAGGGTGCAGGGTTTATTCAGTTAACAACCCCGCCACGCTACACACCACAGAAGCTTAACGCTTGCCTGCCCAGCAGCCAGGCCATGAGTCGCAGGGTTGTTGGGAGGCTTAGGCTTAGGGTTCCAGAACCTTGCCTTTCAGGGTGTTTGGGGCGTTTACTTATAGGGTTCTTAGGGGAGGGGGGGGGGGGGGGGGGTGGCTTTCAGGGTGTTTTGGGAGTTTACTGATAGGGTTCTTAAGGGAGGGGGGGGTTTCAAGGGGGGTATGTATCCCAAGGTCCCCCAATACTCCTCAACACTCCCTGAGGCTCCCTAAGGTTCCTAGGTACCTACCCCCCAAGAAACCCCCCTCCCTTAAGACCCCCATAATGTATGGGCTGGAAGGCAAAGCCTTTAGAAATTCTAAAGGCCTAGGGCCTCGTGATGAAGCAGGGCAGTTGAGGTTTGGGGGCTTAGGGTTCTTGAGGATGGAACAGGCTTGAGGGTCTCGGTGTCAGTCTAGCAACCAACAAAGCAAAAAAAAAAAACACGTACCCCCTAAAATGGCTTAGCATGGAATCTAATCCCAAACCTTTTAGGGTTTAGGGTTTCGGGTTTAGGGTTCAGGGTCCCCCCCCCCCACCAAGCAAAACTTCACGAGCCGCCTTCAGCAAGGGCAGCTGCAGAAAGAAGAAGGCAGCCCATGCCTTCTTTTGAAAGTTGTACTCCCCGTCCTCATCAAGCTTCACGAACCTCCGGGGTCTCGAGCTTTGAAAGCTTTCGGGCTCAGGGTTTAAGGTTGAAGAGTGTGATTGAGTATTGCTTGTAGCGCTGGCGTCGTTGGAATGTGTTTTGGCTAGGGTTTACAATTATAACCGGGATTTCGTGGTAAAGATTGGATTTCAGGATTTAATTATTTTGTATTTTATTTGTGTTTTTTTGTCTTTTGCATCTGTGATTTATTTGAGAAATGCTTGGAGACCCCATGTCGGATCTGTGATTTATTTGTGTTTTTTTTCTGTGTTTCTTGTTTGTTCTGCCCTCTGGTCAGGATCTCTAATCTGTGTTTTTTTTGTGTTTTGTTTGTGTTTTTTTGTGATTTTTTGTGATTTTTTTGTGATTTTTCTGTGTCTTGTTTCGTTGTCTTTCTGTTGTCTTTCTGCGCAATGGTTTTGGGTTGCCTTGGGGGTGTCACACGTGTGTACCTGGCCTAACGGATACCGGTGGTGAATGGTTGGCGGCTAGCGGCTGGGCACTCGGTTGCATCCGCTCTTTTTCTGTACTGCGCAAACAAACCAAAGAAAAACAAAGAGGGAGACAGAGGGAGACAGAAAGAGAGAGAGAGAGAGAGAGAGAAAAAAAAATGGAGAGAAAAAGAGAAAGAGCAAGAGAGAGAAAGAGAAAGAGAAAGAGAGAGAAAGAGAGAGGAAGAGAGAGAAAGAGAGAGAAAGAGAGAGAAAGAGAAAGAGAAAGAGACAGAGAAAGAGAAAGAGAAAGAGAGAGAGAGAGACGAGGGGGGCCATGTGCAGTGGAAGGAAGGAAGGAAGGAAGAGATATACAGAGAGAGAAAAAGATAAAAAGAAAGAGAAACAGAAAGAGAGAGAGAGAGAGAGAGAAAGAAAAAAGGAGGGAGGGAGAGAGGGAGAGGAAGGAGGGGGAGTGAAGAATGGGGGAGGTGGGGGTGGCGGGGGGGGGTGGGGGAGGGCGGGGAGGGGGGGGTGGCGGGGGAGCGGGCGGAGGGGGCGGGAAGGGGGCGGCGGGAGGGGGCGGGAGGGGGAAGGGGGGGGGGCGGGGCGGGGGGGGACAAGTTTTTCACACTTTTTTCACACTTTTTTCACAGATTTGCCGCTATTTGATTTTAATTAAATTTAAATAAGATTTAAATAAATTTTAATTACAAATTACAATTTTAATTATCTTTTTAATTAAAAACTAATATTTTAATAAGAATTTATTTAAATTTTAATTAAAAACTACAATTTTAATTGACCTTTTAATTAAAAATTAATATTTTAATAGGAATTCTGATTAAAATATTAATTTTTAACTAAAAAAATAATTAAAATTGTGGTTTTTAATTAAAATTTAATTAAACCCCCCTCATTAAAATAAGAAATTAAAAAAAAATCATTTAATAAAAATTTTACAATCCTAATATTTGTAAATTAAAATTAAATCTTTTTTTTTTTTTTTTTTTGTATTTATTATTTAAATTTTAAAATAATTTATTGTGTTAACAATTTTATTAGCTTTTAATTAGCATTAAATATTTTTCATAAGAATTTCCTATTAAATATTACTTTTTATTAAAAGTAATAAAAAATTTGGGAATTTTTAATTACAATTTAAATGAAAAATTTTAGAATTTTAATTAGTTTTTAATTAACAATTAATATTGTAATATAAAATAATTAATAATGAAGTCTTATTAAAATATATTTTTAATCAAAAACAATTCAAATTGTAATAAAATTAAAGGAAGGAGAGAGAGGCGGCAGAATAGCAGAGAGGACAGATAAGAGGAGAGAGGAAGGAAGGAAGAGAAGGTAAGCGAGAGAGAGGAAGAAAAAAGGAAGGAGAGAGAGGAGAGGGGGAAGCGAGAGAAGGAGTAGGGAGGATAGAAGGAGAGGGAGACCATTTAAGTAAATTTTAATTAAAAATTACGATTTTAATTAATTTTTTTAATTAAAAATTAATATTTTAATAAGAATTCCTATTAAAATATTAATTTTTAATTAAAATTTAAATAAATTCTTATTAAAATATTAATTTTTAATTAAAAAGATAATTAAAATTGTAATTTTTAATTAAAATTTAATTTAAATCTTATTTAAAATTTAATTAAAATCAAATAGCGGCAAATCTGTGAAAAAAAATGTGAAAAATGTGTAAAAAAAGTGTGAAAAAAGTGTGAAAAATTTGCCACCCACCCCCCCCCCCCACCACCCGCCCCCACCCCCCCCCCGCCCCCACCCCGCCCCACCCCCCCCTTTCCCCGCCCCTCCCCCCCCGCCCCCCCGCCCCCCGCCAAGCATCTATCCCGCGCATCACATTCCTTGATTGTTAAGATTATTGAATATCTCAGACATACGTCGAAGTTAAATTTAAGATTTAAAAGCCAACAGAAAAATCTCTATGAGTTCGGGCCGAATTTGATCTTCAGATAGATTTTCAATATATTCGATGCCCGGGACAGAAAGAATCCTTCTGCAATTGTGCTTGAACGCCATCTGGAACCCCCCAGCGGCCGTAGCAGCATCCCCGTTTAACTAAAATTAAACTAAAGTAAACTTAAAGACTTAATTAAAACTAAACTTAAACCTAAACGTTAAGCCTGCAAGTCCGACAGAGAAGTGAGCAGAAAAGAATAAACATTGGCCAGCTTCCCACGTCGAACCCGCCAGCCAGACATGTGTATAACGGCCTAGGCTAAGATTCGATAGAGTGTAGCTTCCTGAAAGTGTCAAAATCTTCAGTCTAATCAAGTAGCTACGTCACTAGTCACTCACTAGTCTAGTAGCCAACCACACGCGGGGTCCTTCACTTGAGCTGCGCATTCCTTCACACTTTTTTCACAGATTTTCACAGATTTTTCACAGATTTTTCACAGATTTTTCACAGATGCCAACGGTCCAGGAACAGCAGAATCACATTTTTTACACTTTTTTCACAGATTCCAAACCCCACATCGCCACAGCTACAGATTATTCACACATACCGATTACAAAAAAAACACACTTTAATCACAAAAATAATTCCTGACATCGCCCCCAGTGATTACCACAATTCCAGGTTATAAGTTTACAAATAACCCCTAAGGTCCCTCACTGTAAAGGGAGCTCCTCCTTTGAGGCCTCAGGCTTTGATTCCACGGCTTCCCCTGACTTTACAGAAACATCTCGAAGGATTGTGGCTAAATTCGCTTCCCCCTGTGTATAAGCCCTTTAAGGGAGTCTATGAATTGCCTACTTCCCTAAACCCTAAATCCTACACCGCCTACACCCCCTTAAATGGCTGGGTTGGTGGAAGGTTTGCGGCGAGAGGCACCAAGCTGGAAAGTTTGGAGGTTTTGTGGAATTTGGCTTGCGCGTCTACGTCTGATGCCTTGGGCCTAAACGTCAAAGCCCCTAAAAAGACCCCAGACCCAAAAGCCCAAAGCATCCCAAAGCCCAAAGCCCAAAGCCCAAAGCCCAAAGCCCAAAGCCCAAAGCCCCAAGCCCAAAGCCCAAAGCCCTAAACCCTAAACCCTAACAACCTTGCACACCTGAACCCTAAACCCTAAATCCTAAACCCTAATCCCTACTACTTTCCTACACCCTACCAACCTTGCACCCCTGAACCTAAACCCCAAATCGTTTGGAGGACCCTATGGCGGGGTTGATGGGTGGGGTTCGGGATGCGATGCTTCGGCAGAGTAAGGACGAAGAATCCGAAAGCGACTGAGATTTTAGGATTTTGGGGGTTCAGGTTTGTTTCGGGGATTTAGGTTTTTTTTTTTCAGGGCTTTACGGTTCCTAGTCTCAACCCCGAACTCTACACTGACGCAGTTGCAAGGGGAGGGAGGCAGAGACGCTGGTGCTGTCTGGAAGCGCATGATGGGCGGCTTGGGCGATGATACCTCGCAGCTCTCAACCTTCAACTACTGTTTGCAAAAAATAAAGAAGTATCTTCCTTACAAGGGAAATAGAGGGATTATCATGTCGGTTATTTTTTGGGGTGGGGTGGTTCTTAAAGCAAGTAGTGTAAACCCTAAACCGAGTCTTTTGTTGCTTGTTTTGCGAGCTTGGCCTGGCGGTAGACACCGACTGCTCCCGCAACCACAACTGCCAGAAAACTTGACTCTTACTACTAGAGTAGAGGTTTAGGGAGGGCGTAGGGTTTGGGATTTAAGGTTTTGGGTTTAGGGTTTAGGGTAGACGCCCCAAACAACATGACTTAGATCAACCCCCCCGTGCTGGCCACAAACCCTCTTACCTAGGAACTGAAAAAGCTCCCTGCTCGTCTTGGGTAGCTTCATGAGGAACCAAGGCCACCCGAAAATGGGAAAAAGGGTCCACTGGCAGATCTAGCCGACCACAGAGCCGAGACCCAAACCCACAAGACCCCCGGACCCCTAAACCCTAAACCCTAAACCCTAAACCCTAAACCCTAAACCTCTTGCTTTCGAGAGAAAGTGGCTGAAGCCAGCCGAGCCAAGGAAGGTGGAGAACACCTTCAGAGAAATATGGGTTCTTAAGGAAGGGGGGTTCATGTGAGGTTTAGGGTTTAGGGTTTAGGGTTTAGGGTTTAGGAAGGAAAGGGTGCAGAATTCCAGCTAGGGCAACGCTCTTGGAAACTTGGGAACTGGCTATCTGAGCCCAGAAACCACGAGCTTAACCAGCCCAGCCACGTTGCAGGTTTCACTATAAACCCTAAGTTATAAACCCTAAACCCCAAACTTTAAACCCCAAAGCCTTAAACCAAAACCAGGGCTGCTCTCAGATGTTCGTGCGGCGCGACAATGGCTTCACAGTCTTCGAAACATAGAACTTAGCTGTCTTTTTCGGGGTTTCGGCGGCCTGAGGGGTTGAGGACCCTAAACCCTAAAGCCTAAACCCGAAACGCTAAACCCTAAAGCCTAAAGCCTAAAGCCTAAACCCTAAACACTTCACCCTAAACCCTAAATGGTTTAGGGTAGAGGGTTGAGGACTGACGGCGCGCCTGGAAAATCAGCATGCTCGTGGACACACCGCTTGGCAAGACCTGACACGCCACTTTTTTTTATTAAGAGAAGCCCGTGGATAAGTCTCGGCTCAGCCTACGCGCTGATACCCTTTTTCGAAGCAAACCACGCCGGCTATCAACTTTAACTCTTTTTGCTGAGTTCCTTTTTTCCTGCGAACAGTATAAAGACTTTGGTACAGCAACAAAATTGTGTATGCATGTATATGTATACATATATATATATATATATGTATACAAAATCACATAATATAATATAATATAATATGATATAATATGATATAATATGATATAATATGAAATAATATTATATAATATGATATAATATCATATAATATGATATAATATCATATAACTCAATATATATATATATATATATATATATATATATATACGTATTGGTTTGTATACTCAAACAAGAAATGATGTTCAAGTAGCCGCCTTCCCCAGGAACTGTGAGTCTTCCCAACATCTTCGTCTCAAAATGATTCCGAGGGTTGTGGTTTAGAGTTTAGGGTTTAGGGCTTAGGCCTTAGGGTTTAGGGTTCAGAGGTCGTGACCTTCCAAACCCGACATTCCCTGGTGTAGGATGTAAAGTACACATGCGGGCCCTTTAAGCGCTGTAATTCGCCGAGGAACTGCAGACACCCTAAACCCTAAACCCTAAACCACAAACCCTAAACCCTAAACCCAAAACCCTAAACCGGCGAAACAGGCCGCTTCCAAAACGCAGCCCAGGCGACTGAGGCGGTGTGGCAGTAGCCGTCCTCCGCGGCCACTGAATGTTTGGCTTCAGGAAACCCTAAACCCTGCAACTTTATACTGAAACCTGAACCTTTAAAACTTAATCATGAAATCCCACCCCCTTGAACCTACAAACTCAAACCCTAAACTCTGAACCCTGAACCAAACCCTTGCACCTAAACCCTTATCCTTGAACACCCCCCGAGGCAAGAGAGAGTTCTTGGGTGGGGCTGGGGGAAGGGGTTCCAGCATATTCCAGCCCAACAAGTCGAAGGTAGGTATCTGAGTTGATGTGTGATCGGTTGCAAGACCCATCAGTAACCTAGGAATAAAAAAAGGGAGCCCTTTTGTTGGTTTACAGGGGGCTGATAAGGCGAACCTAAACTTCTAAAGAAAGGGAAAAAGGGCCTACTTTGGGGTCCTAGGTCCTAGGTAACAGTTCAGCATTGTAAAACGGCTCAACAAGTAAGCATGGAGATCGGGAGAAAAATGACAGCTTAAGCACTCGTAACTCGACCCCAGTTCCCAGTCTTCTGTTCTGGCGATCCGCGTAAAACCTAAACCCTAAACCCTAAACCCTAAACCCTACACCCTAAACCATGGGCTCGGCGTTTGGATGCTGATCTTTCCGGGTGCAGGGATGCCAGTAGATGAGGCTTCAATGCGCGTGAGGGAACCAGAGACCCCAAAACTTGGCCGGTTCAAACCTCCCAGCATGCAGGGCTAAACCCTAAACCCTAAACACCCTGAACTCTAAACCCGAAACCCTAAACCCTAAAACCAGCCCTAGAAGGCCCAGAATCCCTGGAAGCCGCAAGCCTGAAAAAGGTCCGGAAGGTCTGGAAGCCCTTGACTCTAACCCTTTAACATCAGAGAAGTCGGGGTTTGCGAAAATGAGGGACACCCTAATATACACCCCCCAGAAAATAGGATTCCCTTACAAGAAGGACCCCAATAAGGTACCCCCTAAAATCGTAAACCCCCATATCAGGGTTGCTTGGAGGTTCATAGTACTTCTTAACCAATGAGAACTGTACTTCTAACCCACTGATAAGCCCCTCAAGTGCCCGAGTATGGTTACAAGCACAGCGAAAAGTGCAGTTATGATTGGGTTAGTAAGTACCATGAACCTCCAAGTAGAGCTTTTACAATCCCCCCCCCTTCCCCCCAAAAAAAACTAGAAGACGATTGGCCCATCGATTTTCCGTGTGTTGACTCTATGCATTTCACTCTATGCACTCGAACTGTATGCACTTGGACAATTGTATGCACTTATATGGTTGCACACTCACTTGTATACTGCACATGTATGCACTTCAACTGCATGGCATTCAAGTATGTTGACTTGAAGGCCATGCACTTGTGGTCAACTCTATACACTTCATTGGAATTCAATACATCTGAAGTTAACGGACTTGAACTCCACATTTTTCAACTTAATGCACTTGAGCAACTGTATGAACTTCACTTGTGTGCACCCGACTCGGCTGTGCACGTCCAATCCACGCGAAGCCATGAAAGAAAATACAAAAATATCCAACGCGAGAGCCGTCAGCCATGAGCATCATCGGCAGGCGCTCTGTAGTCCAAGCCATAGTCCATAGCGCCTTTCAGGAAGCAACAACTCAGCATGCACGCATGTAGAGCATCCGGTTTGATGTGTGACGGTGCATACGCTTTCGTGCTGCAGGCAGGATTCTAAGCATTTGCGAGGTTTCAGAGCGAACGGAATTCCACACCGACCACGGCCCTTTGCAGTACTGCTTTTGAACTGAGGAGGATGAACTCTATGCGCTTCACTCTATGCACTCGAACTGTATGCACTTGGACAACTGTATGCACTTCTATGGTTGTATACTCTGTGCGCTGCACTTCTATGCACTTCAACTGCATGGCATTCACATTCGAGTCCCACGATATTTGCGATGTTTTCGATGCCCCGGAATTCGAGTCCCACGATATTTGCGAGGGTTTCGACACCCCGGAAGTCGAGTCCCACGATATTTGCGAGGTTTTCGAGGCCTCGGAATTCGAGTCCCACAATGCTTGCAAAGTTTTCGACACCCCGGAATTCGAGTACCACGATATTTGCGATCCCGGAATTCGAGTCCCACGATATTTGCGAGGTTTTCGAGGCCCCGGAATTCGAGCCCCAGCGCCGGCCCTATTCAGGACCACTTTTGTACTACAGAGGGGGATTTTGACAGCCTAAAAGCGTGCACCGGCCCTAGACAACACTACTTTTGTACTAGAGAGGAGGATCTTGAGCGCGCCGGCCCTACACAGTACTACTGTTGTACTACAAAGGACGTTTTCGGTCAAGACGCAAAACACGAGGGTTTTGGCACCTCTACCACGCGGAAACCCGCAGAGGGGTTGCGTTTGTATGTCAAAAACCGCAAGAACACGAGGGTTTTGGCACCGCGACCACGCCGAGACCCGCAGAGGGTTGACGCGCGCGCGCGAAAAAATGCGCGAAAAAACGAGAGTTTTAGCACTGCGACCACGCCGAAACCCGCAGAAGGCTGTCCGCGGCGCACAAGACACGTAAAAAAAACGAGGGTGTTAGCACCACGACCACGCCGAAATCCGCAGAGGGTTGCAATCCCGATCGATGACGACAACCCTAGGTACGAAAGTCTACCAAATTCTATTAAAGTCTCATAAATTCTACTAAATTGTACTAAAATTCTACTAAAATCTCGTAAATTCGACTATATTGTACTAAAATCTCGTGAATTCGACTCTGTGCACTTCACTGTTGCACTAGACTCTGTGCACTTCACTCTATGCACTTCACTCTCTATGCACTTCACTCTGTGCACTTCACTCTATGCACTTAACTCTATGCACTTGACTCTATGCGCTTCGCACGGAAGAACCCTTCGCGATGCTTTCGGGAAAAAACTAAACCCAAACCCTTCACCCTTCACCCTTCACCCTAAACCCTTCCTCAAGGGTTTGGGGGGAAGCCGCAGTCCAGTCCTCCCCTTTCGTGACGGGCATCGGAATCAGGCTGTTGGAAACCATCAGGACACTCGCCGTCACGAAGATCCAGATGAAGATCTCAACTAAGCTGATCCTGGGAAACTCGTTAGGGTTTCGGGTTTAGGGTTTGGCGTTTGGGGTTTAGGGCTTGGGGTTTAGGGTCCGCCGACCCTGGCGGCGTGTTGGATGGGAAAAAGAGGTCTTTCCCTCCTTCCCCCCCAAAACCGCGGCGGAGGGGGGGGGGGGGGGGGGGGGGGGGGGTAGGGGGGGGTACCCCGCGCGAGCTTTTCCGTGGAGGAACAGGCCACCCACACCGCGTAAACTCATGGACCATAGGCGTTTTCGCACAGGGCATAGGGGCTCTTTTGGAAAAAACCCGCTCCCCCCCCCCCCAACCCCCCCCCCCCGCCCCCCCCCTCCCCCAACCCCCCCCCACACCCCACCCCCCCACCCCGCCCCCCCCAACAGGAACCGCAAACGAAATCACCAAACCCCAAACCTTAAACTTGTTCTCCTGCGGGGTCGGCGGCTTGAGCCGGAGGCTCTTAAATTTAGGGCGGTAGCCCAGCAAATGTTAAAATACGGGTATTAGGCCCCAGTGGCTGATGTACACCCTTACAGTTTCGGGTGTTGCAAACATCCGCAAACCTTAAACCTAAAAGTGTTCGGGCTTTCATTGAGGTCCGTTCAGAGCTGTGGTATAGGGTTTAGGTTTAAGGGTTCCCTAAACCCTAAACCCTAAACCCTACACCCTGAACCCTAAACCCAAAACCCTAAACCCCAAAGATTTTGAGGGATGCCGGGGCGGCATCTAAGAGTCTAGGCGAAAACCCTAGACTCAGGTACTCGTTGCAAGTTTGCGTGAAGGGATCCTGAAGCAATCCCAGCCCTTCCCCTGTACAAGTCCCCTTAGGCACCCTAAACCCTAAACGAGTCTAGGGCTTAGGGTCTAGTTTGGGGTTTGGGGTTTAGGGTTTGGGGTTTAGGGTTTGGGGTTTAGGGTTTAGGGTTTAGGGTTTAGGGTTTAGGGTTTAGGAACCAGGGAACCCGAACGCTCCCCTCTCTTTTCAGCCAGGCTTCGATCGCCGCATGTCCTCGATCCCCAGCTTGTGCTTGGTGCGGCTGTACACCAGCCCCAAGCCTGCTTGGAGGTTCATGGTACTCATTACCATCTGGGGTTTAGGGTTTAGGGTTTAGGGTTAAGGGTTTAGGGTTTAGGGTTTAGGGTTTAGGGTTTAGGGTTTAGGGTTTAGGGTTTAGGGTTTAGGGTTTAGGGTTTAGGGTTCAGGGTACTTATTAACCAATTAGAGCTGTACTTACAACTGTACTTCTAACCATATTAGGGCACTTAAGGGGCTGTGGGTATGCTTCACCCTAAACCCTAAACCCTAAACCCTAAACCCTAAACCCTAAACCCTAAACCCTAAACTCTAAACCCTAAACCCTAAACCCTAAACCCTAAACCCTAAACCCTAAACCCTAAACAGGGCTTTCAAAGGCTTTTCGGGTTTTAGTGTGCGGCTGTAAAACCAGGCCCCAGCCTAGGATCTTTTTGCGGGTTTCGGGTTCAGGGTGTTAAACGTGCTTTTAGGGTTTAGGGTTTAGGGTTTAGGGTGGGTTTTAAGTTTTCACTGTAGGGTTCTGAGGGTTGAGGGGGCTTAGGGTTCTTAGGGTTTAGGATCGTCCAGGGCTTAGGATTGAGAGTTGTTAAAGGGCTTTTAGGTGGTTTATAGGGTTGCTTCGGGGGTTTAGCTGTATTGCGGGTTTAGGGTTGAGGGATTCTTTCGAAGGGCTTTGAAGGGTGCGCAGGGGGGTCTCCCTAAACCCTAAGCCCTAAACCCTAAACCCTGAGGGTTCTTTTTTTTCTGAAACTTTCCAACCTCAATTCCCGAATCCCTAGGGCGACCAAGGAGCCGGGAAGCATGTCGTTCGCGCCTGCAGCCGCGTAGAGTTTAGAGTTTAGGAAGGGTTGAGGGTTTGGGGCTTAGGGCTTAGGTTTAGGGGTCAGGGTTTGGGGCTTATGAGTTTTGGGTTTCGACTCTCGCGCTCGCTGAAGCAGGCAAGGTTAGGGTTTACAAAAGGGGTTTAGGGTTTAAGCCGTTTAGGGGTATTTTGTCCACCCCCAGCTGCAGGGAAAATTCGAGGCCACGGTTCGAGGTAGGCTGGACAGTGGGTCCCCTCAGGCACTTACAGCCCAACAGTCCAGCATTCGGAGAAAGGCAGCGAAACGCTAGGAGAAAGACGGGTCATTATGGACCACCCTCTTCCATGAGCATTCATGCCCAGTTCGCGACTGATGCCACTCGTGCACATCGGTCCCGCACGCACACCACCAACGAGCGTCGCAACCACAAACCGACATGACACCCAACCTAACACGTAGTTCACAGTCCTCCCCGTTAAGAGGGTTTAGGGCTTCGGACGCAGGGTTGAAGCTTGGGGCTCCTGGCTTTTCATTCGGGTTGAAGCTGATAGGGTCTAGGCTTCAGAGTTTGATTGAAGGTTCGTGGGTGGTAGGGATTAGGGTTTGGGATGTTCCCCCTTTATATAGGGGGGTACTATCATCCCTTTTGAGGACTGTTCGTATTGCAGGGAACATCCAAAGTTTAGGGTTCAAGGCTTGGGGTTTAGGCCCGGGGCCTTCCTGGGCTCCAGAGGAGGACTTTAGGATTTTTGAGGTTTTATGGTTTGGGGTTTAGGGGTTTAGGGTTTGGGGGTGTAGGGGTTTCGGGGTTCATAGGTTTTGGAGATGTAGGGTGTTCGCTTGTGTGTGTGTGGTTCGTGTTGGGACGCCCTAAACCTAAAGCCTTTTCCGGAAAAGCAACACGGATCCCTCTTGCAACTAAAACTTACAACTCTTATGCTTCTTTGTTCTGGGCTACGCAGCATTTGGGTTTTGGGTTTAGGGTTTAGGGTTTAGGGTCTTAGCCCTAAACCTTTGTTTCGTAGCGCACACTTTGTGAAGTTGCCACGTCGCCTCCACAGTAGCTCGGAAGCCACCACTTCTTCAAGGGCGTCTCGTTGAGAAGCTTGTTGCTAGAGTAGCCATCTCCTTAGCCAGGCCACCAAACCCGGAGAGACCACGAAAGCCTTGAAACAACCCTTTTAACTCGATAAAGCACGAGAAAACCAAAACCCTAAACCCTAAACCTAAACCCTAAACCCATTTCAAACCTCGTAGACAACATGGGGTCCTATGCCCCACCCAGAATAGGCCCCCTCATCCCGAAACTACGCCAGATTTCAGCGTTACGTTGCATGTGACCCTGCGAGGGTGTGCGAGTAGTTTGGTTCGCCGCCATCAAACAGTCACCTCAAACCCTAACCCTAAACCCTAAACCCGAAACCCAAAGCTCTGAAAAAGGGAGGGCACTGGTTTCGGTGGCTTTCTTCAGCCAGGCCTCCCAAGGCCAACATGATGTACTGGACCAGGCCTGCGCCGAAAGGCAGCCCGCCCCCTTCATGAACGGTTCAGGATTTCGGGCTTGCAGCCCTAAACCCTAAAGCCTAAAGCCTAAACCCTTAACCCTAAACCCTAAACCCTAAACGGCGTTCGGGGGGGGGGGGGGGGCTTTGGCCACCTTGAAACATTCAGTTTTTGTGCTTCTTTGGGGCCTGGCTTTGAGTCTTCCTGGGCTTTTGGGCTTCGAGTTCCAGGCTTAGGGTTGTTCTATTTGCATTAGACACCGAGGCTCTGTCTTGCATGGTGCCGCCTCGTTTAGACAAATGGCCTTCTCTTTTCTGAATGCTTCGTTGGGAAGCAACAACTTGAGAACTGTTGCAAACTTTCCGTCGTGTTGGGGCTCGGAAAGTCATTTCGAAGCCGTCGAACTGCAGCTGAGCTTTGCTTGAAAGAGTGAGCCACAGACAACTTGTGATTTGTTGTGATCTTGAGGGTTGACCGGGCAAATACTCCTTAAGGAATGTGAAGGGGCAGCTCTCTGAATTGGATCCTTTTTGGGGTCCTTTTTAGAAAGTGCCGTATACTATATGTAGGGCCCACAAGGGGGCCCTGATTTAAACTTAGAAAACTTGCCACGTCCTTTAACTATAGCTAGGCTTCTTCATTCTGATGTCTTGGCATGCTCCATACTTGAGGCGCCCGGGCAAATTCCATTCCGAGGCAGAGCGGCTCTGGCTCCGTTTATGTTTTGCCTGTGTGTTGTCCTTGTTTGTGTCATTCATGTGTTTTTTTTTGTGAAGGTAGAGGGCTGCTGGGAATGTGAGGCAGGGTTTAAGATTTTGTGATGCCTATTTTGGTTTCTCTTTCTCTGGGGGGGGGGTGGAGTTGTAGGGCCTTTTGGCGCATAGAGGGATGACTTGGAGCATCGGGCGGGAGACTGGGTAATTAAGCAGTTACCAAATAGGATATCCCCGAATCAGCACCCCTTTGGGAGTACTTATACCTCTAGTTTGTACCTACTTGCTAAGCAACCCCACATCGTAAATCCCTATCTCTGATAAACCCTACGCCCTGGCTTGCCTGTAGCGTTTAAGGTTCAGTCGGCGCCTGCCATGATCACGCACGTCGTGATGGCAATCAGCAGTTCTCCAGAATAGGCCTGAACCGCAGGTACAGCTTGGGATGTTCCCCCTTATACGAACTGTCCTTCATCGGGACTATAGTACCCCCTATGATAATCCTTATTAAGGACTGTCAGTATAAGAGGGAACATCCGAAGATACAGCACTCCAGAAAAACCACACACAAAGCCTGAACCCTGGCTTTAGGAGTTAGGATTTGGGGCTCGGAGGGGCGTTGAGTCCTAGAAATCCTAAAGCCGCCCGAAGACATGGCTGTTTAGGTTTAGGGTTTAGGGTTTAGGGTTTAGTGTTTAGGGTTTAGGGTTTAGGGTTGAGGGCCAGGAGCCTTTGAACGTTCGCGGCCGAGATGCCAGCGAGGGCACCAGCAGGACGCAGAAGGCCATACCGCAGATCGGCAGCGGGAAGAAGTTGATCGTTCTCCTGGGCTTACTAAACCCTAAACCCTAAACCCTAAACCCTAAACCCTAAACCCTAAACCCTAAACTCCAAACCCCGAACGTTAAGCCCTAACTCTAAACACACCGGACCCCCCCTGGAGCCACCCCTTTGCCTACCGCAAGGGAGAATACACAGCAACATTCAATGTCTATACATGTCTATACGCAAAAATGTTCAGGGTTGAGGGTTCAGGGCTTAGGGTTGGGATGTTCCCCCATATACTAACAGTCCTTTTTTGGGATTATGGTACCCCCGTATTGGAATTTCTATTCAGGCCAGAAAGTATAAGGGGAACATTCCAAACCCTAAACCCTAAACCCTAAACCCTAAACCCTAAACCCTAAACCCTAAACCTCGAATCCTCAAAAGCCCAAGTCTGGGAACATCCCAAGCCTAGGGTTGCCAAAAAAAACAGAGTTTTTCTTGGTGTTTGGGGTCTGGTTGACCCAGTGCTGCTCTCCACACGGGTTTAGGACCTAAACCCTAAACCCTAAACCCTAAACCCTAAACCCTAAACCCTAAACCCTAAACCCTAAACCCTAAACCCTAAACCCTAAACCCTAAACCCTAAACCCTAAACCCTAAACCTAAACCATAAACCCTAAACCCTAAACCCTAAACCCTAAACCCTAAACCCTAAACCCTAAACCCTAAACCCTAAACCCTAAACCCTAAACCCTAAACCCAAACCCTAAACCCTAGACCCTAAACCCTAAACCCTAAACTAAACCCTAAACCCTGAAAAACCAGCAAGCTGACAAGCATCGCCAGCTGAACCTCCACCGGACGCATGGGCCGGACTTTGAGCATCTTGGCGCAGGCCCTTGCCAGCTCGCGGGTTCAGGGTTTAGGGTTTAGGGTTTAGGGTTTAGGGTTTAGGGCCTGCTCTCCATGATCCTTGAAATAGAGGGAACTGGCAGACTCTCAATAATGGCACAACGTGCCCTGGCTTTTGGGGTTTAAGTTTAGGGCTTGGGTTTTAGGGTCCCCTAATCGCTAAAGCCTAAACCCAAAACCCTTAGGGCGGTATGATCCTGTTGGTTCACGTTTGGGTGGGATTGCCTGGGGGCACTTGCAATTCAAGGCTTGGGGGGTTCAACGTACTTGGAGTAAACGAATACCTCTTAGAGTACAGACAGAAAATACTCTACCTCAAGCAAGAACCCTGCTAAACTCTAAACCCTAAACCCTGAACCCTAAACCCTAAACCCTAAACCCTGAACCCTAAACCCCAAACCCCAAACCCCAAACCCTAAACCCTAACCCCTAAACCCTAAACCCTAAACCCTAAACCCTAAACCCTAGCCCTAAACCCTAAACCCTAAACCCTAAACCTTAAACCCTAAACCCTAAACCGTGGGCATCCTCAGCCCAGCCTGTGCTCACGCCATGCCCAGACGGACACGAAGCCCGCGGTGACCATGAAGGAGATGGCCCCGAGGACCCATAAGGCCTGGGCCCGGTCGTTTAGGGTTTAGGGTTTAGGGTTTAGGGTTTAGGGTTTAGGGTTTAGGGTTTAGGGTTTAGGGTTTAGGGTTTGGTGTTTGGGGTTTAGGGTTTGGGGTGTGGGTTGGGGGTTTGGGGTTGAGGGAGTTATACCCGTGCCCCAACCTTCGAGCTCAGAAGCTGAGGGTCTTTTTTTGTAGGCTTCAGGGTATTCTCTTGGAGGTCCAGTACGAAGGAGGGTTGAAGCTCTGAGGGGTTAGGGTTCATGGGCATTAACCCCCACTTGGAGGTTCAGGGTACTTACTAACCATTTAGAACTGTACTTACAGCTGTACTTATAACCATATATTAGGGCACTTAAGGGGCTTATACGTGGGTTCTAAGTGGAGTTATAATTGGTTAATAAGTACCATGAAGCTCCAAGTAGGCTTCATCCCCCAAGCCCTGTGAATGGGTCTAGAGTTTAGGGTTTAGGGTTTAGGGTTCAGGGTTTAGGGTTCGGGGTTAGGGTGTAGGGTTTAGGGTTTAGGGTTCAGGGTTTAGGGTTCGGGGTTAGGGTGTAGGGTTTAGGGTTTAGGGGGAAGGTCCGTCTCTGGCAGCTTTGTAGCCGTGGAGCGAGGGGGTTGTAGACGAGCGTTTGGGGTGAACGAGCGGTTCGGGTGAGCCGACAGACACAGGAAGCCCAACCCGTCTTGATTCAGAATATGTCCGACAAAGTATGTGTGGGTGGCTTACGAAACCCTTAACCCTAAACTATAAACTCGAAACCCTAAAGCAAGGTATTGGGCTCCTCAAGACTGTGATGCCCTCACACTTCACACAGCATCCAAGAAGGACGAGGTTGGGGATCAAAGCAGCAGCCAATTCTGCAAGCAGTCGAAACATATATTATATGGCCATGTTGTCCATTTATACACACATCTCTATATATATATATATACATATATACATATACACGCATCAGTTCTTTAAATATACGTATTTGTATAAACATACTCCGACTGAAGTCCAGCCGAGTGGTCTGGCAATGGTTCGCTCTGCTGCTGCTCCAATCCCTGAGCAATCGAACCCCGGCCGGATGCAAGTGCAAGTGTTGGGCCGTCGAACCCCGAAACGGGATAGACTACACCACCCTCATGTAGGGCGACATGAACATCTACATATACATATACTACAGTGCCGAGGCTCTGCACCGTAACAAAAAGCACCTGGGCAGACTCGGCACGAATCACAGCCGGCCCTAGGGACCAAGGGTTTTCTGCTAGCCAGGCCCCTTGGTACGGCTGCTTTGCTGAAGCAAATTTGGATTTGAGCTCGGATGGGTATAGTCTTCAGCATTCAATGCTGCTAGCATCGCAGGCTAGGGACAACCCGTGTGGACGACAAATTGCTTAAGAACCCCGAAAAAATGTTCTTCCTTAATAAGGGATTGTTCCTATATCTTTTCTTACATTCTTTTGGGGTTCTGAAGCAAATAGTCGTGGCGTGGGCAGTGAGACAGTTAGTTCATCTATCTGCCGCAGGATCCGGACAAATAGTCGGAAAACTTCTGCAGCACCGGGGACGGGGCACTGTTCAGCCCTGCCTCCTACAAAATGTGAGACACAGAAAGCCCAACACCCTAAACCCTATGCAATGCCTCCAATAGCATCAGGGAAGGCCGAGGTTGGGGACAAAGCAGCAGCCAGTTCAGCAAGCGGTCGAAAAGAACACATTACATGGCCATGTCGTATAATATATATATATACACATAATAGTATGGAATGCGTATATGTATATACACATACTCCGACTGAAGTCTAGCCGAGTGGTTTCACAAGGTAGTGGCTATGGTTCGCTCTGCTGCTGCGCCGTCGAACCCCGAAACGGGATAGACTACAACACCCTCATGTAGGGCGACATGAACATACTAGAGAGTGCCGAGACTCGGAAAAGGTACCCACTCGGCACGATTCACAGCCGGCCCTAGGGACACGGGAGAATGTCACTGCTCAAAACATATGTCGATGCAAGCATAAGTGCAAGGGCTTTCTGCTAGCTTGGCCCCTTGGCACGGCTCCTTGTTAAAGCAATCCTGGATTTGAGCACGGATGGGTACAGTCCTGTCTAAGACGCATTCAATGCTGCTAGCATTGCTGGGTGCTTGGCACGCAACCCCAGCAATCTATGCACAACCCTGCGTGTAGCCTGCTGAAGTTCGCACCTGCTGGCCGCCGTGGCCGCCTCAACGAGACATAGCGCCTCAACCAGCGAGGAGGGGGCGGATTCGACATGCCCGGGAAGGCTGAGCTGTTGCAAGGCACAGCTCCAGTGCGCGACGGGGACGTCGTCCGGGCGAAGGCGCGCAAGGCACGCCGGTGATAGCAGCTGTCTCCACGCCAGGCCGAGGCAGAAGATGCCGAGGGCGAACTCCCGAGGCGGGTTGCGTGTGGAAGTCGCCTCCACGAAGAGCAACAAGCGGACAAAGAACATGGATGTCTGCTTGACCCAGGCGATGGCAGGCTCACATTGCTGTGAAGTCAGGGCACTGAAGCGCCGGCAGTACAGCGTGAGCCACTGCTGCTGTAGCGGCTCCTGTATCTGCCATTGCATCCTCCGCAAGATCTCGGACTCATGCTGTCCGAGCTTCGTCTCAGAAAGCTCCATCTGCCTGCCTTGGATCGGCAGCATTTGCTTGGCCATGCTGAGCCACATGGCAGAACCAATTTGGTCAGGCACACCCCGGTTCCCGTGGAACTTCTTGACCAATCGGACCACTGCGACGCAGGTCAGCGGAAGCATCTGGATGTCGTGCGCGATGTTGCCCGAGGAAGCCAAGTAGGAGTCGAGCAGAGACACGGAGCAGGACCAGCCATCCTAGGGCCCCCAAAAAAGAACAGAAAGCAAAAATCAGGATAGGGATATCCCATATAAACCCCTCTCATAAAGCCCAAAAAAGGTAGGGATATCCCCTATAACCCTAAACCCTAAACCCTAAACCACATGTTTATGCATTTAAATCCTTTTTGGGTCCCTGAGATCCTGGTCCAGTTGGCAGCGGCTTGTCAGGCCCATCATGCTCTGGAGTACCTGCTTAGGGGCTAGGATTGGGGGGACCCTACATAGACCCTCTGAATCAGGGTTTAGGGTTTAGGGTTTAGGGTTTAGGGTTAGAGAGCCAGAAGAGGGTTCAGAAGGGTTCCCTTTTAAGGGTCCCCCTTATCCTACCCAGGAGTACCTGCTCGCGCTGCCTGCCCAGTACGTCAGCCCGGGGTGCTCTGATCCTGGGATGGCCCCGTAAAAGCCTCTGAATATATGTTCCTACATATGATCCCTCTTGAACCCTAAACCCTAAACCCTAAACCCTAAACCCTAAACCCTAAACCCTAAAGTAAACCCTAAACCCTAAACCCTAAACCCTCTGAAGTATGTTCCTACATATGATCCCTCTTAAACCCTAAACCCTACACCCTAAACCCTTAAAACCCTCTGAAACCCAAGAAGGGAAAAGATTAGAAAAGTCCCAAAAACCCTACCGCGCATCGATCTTTCCATCGCCTGTTCCTCCAACTTCATGAGCTGCCGGAGGTGGTCACTAGAGGCGGCTTGGTTGAAGAGCATGTCTTCGAATTCTTCGCTGTCGGCAGGCCATGGCTGCATGATCACCTTGAGTGTTGCGGCCTTTTTTCACTGTACACCAGGAACCTCCAGCTCAAAAGCACCACAGAAGAAGTGCTGCGGATGCAAGGATAGATGGCCACGCAGCCTGGGCATGCATTTCGAGCAACTACCTCATAGCCCTCGCACATGAGTCACGCTCCGAACTTCTCGAAATATGGAGAGCATCTATGTCCCATGTGCATGAGGTGAAATCCTCCCTCTGTCCCGGCCCAATCCCACCCTAAACCCTAAACCCTAAACCCTAACCCTAAACCCCTAAACCCTAAACCCTAGATTCAACGAAGTGATGCCTGCGCGTGTGCAGCTGAGCGGCAACGAGCTTCGGACCCACCTGACAGGCCAGCAACTGTCACTGAACCCTTAAGCTCTAAACCAAACCCGAGTCCCTAAACCCTAAACCCTAAACCCTAAACCCTAAACCCTAAACCCTAAACCCTAAACCCTAAACCCTAAACCCTAAACCCTAAACCCTACCATAACAAAGGGCCTAATTACTCATTCCGTAAAGACTACGGGATCCCTAACCCCGCACACTCACCAACATTAGAACAGAACCTTATATACACTCACCAAGAACAGAAATATACACAAAGAGCCCAATATTGCTTAATGAAGGAATATACCTTAAATCATATTAAAGATCCCTACATGATTTAAGGAATGTTCCTTAATTATTATTAATTAAGCAATATCGGGCTCTTTGGGATATAAGCCCTACTCCATATCATTCTAGAAACCAACAAGAACCGAAGACAGCCTAGGGAACTTCCCATACGAGTCATATGAGTCTCTAAGCCTGCCATGCCACTCCTATCTTGAAGGCCTTTGCATCAACCCACAAAGGGCATCGGGGCTCAGGGCTTAGTTACCCTAGACCCTAAACCCCAAAAAGGGCTTAGGGGTTAGACTCCAACAAGGACCATTCAGGAGGAACATGACCTTAAACCAAATGGGGGGGGGGGGTGCTCAGGGTTCAGGGTTTATATATTGGGATGCTCCTCCTTATACTAACAGTCCTTAATCGGGATTATAGTACTCCCCCCCCCCCCCCCCCCCCCCCACCATATCATTCCCATAAAGGACTGTGCGTATAAGGGGGAACATCCAATTATATATGTTAGTGCAACACAAGGGTCACCAAACCCGAGAATCTGGCGTTTCTAAAACCCCGGCATCCCAAACCTTGAGCCCTCGACCCTAAACACGAACTTTGGGGGTTTAGGGTTTAGGGTTTAGGGTTTAGGGTTTAGGGTTTAGGGTTTAGGGTTTAGGGTTTAGGGTTTAGGGTTTAAACCACTCAAAGCCCTAGGTAGCCCTTGCACGCAGCGCCTAAATCCTGACCCTAACTCCCCAGGCCCTGAACCTAAACTTGGTTTTGAGGGTTTAAGAGGGTTTAGGGTTTAGGATTCCGTTCCCTAAGGCCCAAGAGCCCTTAAGCAGCCCAGCTGCACGGCTAAGCAGGTCGAAGACGGAGTGGCCCCACAAAATGTTCAGAGGCATGGCTGGGGAGCTATTTGCCACCAACAGGCGGCCCTTTTTGCAAAAGTGACTCCGCGAAAGAGACGGAAGAGCAAGCAACCTCCGAAAGCCTAAGATCCCAACCCTACATGCGAGTAAAAACTCGAAGCCCCATCGTGTGCTCCAAAGTAGGTCTTACCCACAGGCATCAGACCCCATAGCAGGCAGAATGTTGTATATCCCCTAAACCCTAAACCCTAAACCCTAAACCCTAAACCCTAAACCCTAAACCCTAAACCCTAAACCCTAAACCCTAAACCCTAAACCCTAAACCCTAAGCCCTAAGCCCTAAGCCCTAAGCCCTAAGCCCTAAACCCTACGGCTGCTTTGAAAGGATCTCTTCACGTCGACGCCTCATTGAGCTGCCCTAACAAAACTGCGCGGCAGCCAAGAAGTCCGGCGGGATGCTAAACCCTAAACCCTAAACCCTAAACCCTGAACCCTGAACCCTGAACCCTAAACCCTAAACCCTAAACCCTAAACCCTAAACCCTAGACTCCTGTAGCACAGCGTATACTTCTTATAGCTTCTTGTGCCGTGATTCAGCTTGGAGTTTTTCTGTGCACAGCATATATATATATACATAAATACACACTTTTGCGTTATATATATATGTATTCATTTAGATGCTTAAGTTCAGGGGTGTGAACAAATGAACGTAAGACATACATGTCTATTTTGCTTATTGATGGACTTATTTAGGATTTAGGTTTAGGGTAGGGTTTGTGCTTTAAGGCCCAAGGATTGTTAGCCGCCCCTTCCAGCTCTTTCACGTAGCGCTCCTGCCTCAGCTAGTCTGCAGAGGCAGGCCGAACAAACCCCAGCTAGTCTGCAGAGGCAGGCCGAACAAACCCCATACCCTAAACCCTACATCCCTCAACCCTATAAACCCCAAACCCTTAAAACCCTAAACCCTAAAACCCTAAACCCTCAACCCTATAAACCCCAGACCCTTACAAACACACACACACACACACAGACAAACCCTAAACTCCCAACCCTATAATTAACCCCCAACCTAAACCCCTCAACCCTAAACTTAAACCCCAAACCTTAAACCTTTTTCAAGGTCTAAAGGGATCCCAAGGGTGCACATTCCGAGGGGGGCCTAAACCCGAACCCCTACGCCATTACAGGGTCTAGGGTTTAGGGTTTTGGGAAAAACCGTGAACCCTAACCCTAAACCCTAAACCCTGAACCCTGAACCCTGAACCCTAAACCCTGAACCCTGAACCCTAAACCCGCTATGTAGGGTCTAGGAGCCTTTTTCTACAAGGATTCGCAATCGAAACGGCACAGCGCGGGTCCATCAAGGGAGTGCCGGCGCTGCTCCTCGCAAGTTGGCACCGGGGCCTAAATTCTAGCGTTTCGGGCTTGGGGTTTAGGGTTTAGGGTTGGGGGTTTAGGGTAGTGTACCGCAAAAAAAACATGGAGTTCCATCTAAGCTTTCCAAGGGTTTCCCTAGAACCTAACCCTAAATGCTAGACCCTGAAGCCTCAACCCTCAAACAGAAGCGGCATGGCCTTCCCTACACCCCGGGCATTGTCTCGATCAGTTTAGGTCTCTAGGGCTTAGGGGCACTGGGGGTTTACGATAATAAGGGACCCCGAATATAGACCTCCCAAATAGTAGGAATCCCTTATATTCAAGAACCCAATTAGGTACCCCGAATCTCGAAAACCTAAACCCTAAACCCTAAACCCTAAACCCTAAACCCTAAACCCTAAACCCTAAACCCTAAACCCGCGGTGCCTCGACCTCCTTGCACATCTCGTCATGCTCATTCCACCAGAGGCTGTCGAAGAGCGTGCGCGAAATGGAGAGGTAGTGCATCCAGGGCTTTCCTTTCTGTGCTCTGAGCTTGGGCTACCCTAAACCCTAAACCCTAAACCCTAAACCCTAAACCCTAAACCCTAAACCCTAAACCCTAAACCCTAAACCAGGGCTTTCCTTTCTCTGCTCTGAGCTTGGGTTACCTAAACCTTTCTAAACCTAACCCTTCTAAACCCTCTAAACCGTCTAAACAGTCTAAACTTCTAAACCTTCTCAACTGTGTAAGCCTTCTAACGCTTCTAAACCTTCTCAAATTTCAACACCTTAAAAATCCATGTACACCCTAAACTAACAGCAAACCCTAAACCCCAAACCCTAAACCTTTCGCCTCTAAGCTCTGACCTCCAGACCTTCCTCCTCTTGGCAGCTATGAATTTAATTGTTAGCTGCCGTATTCAGAAACCCAAGAAACCCAAAAAGGCTGAGGATCTAAAGTTGCAGTAAAGCACCACAGAGTCCTGAACCTATAGGCAGATGGGTCATAGGGGGGCCCCTTCGTAGGCTGTAGTGTAGCCCCGACGGCCAGCTCCCCGACGTTTCTAAACCCTAAACCCTAAACCCTAAACCCTAAACCCTAAAACCCTAAAACCCTAAAACCCTAAACCCTAAACCCTAAACCCTAAACCCTAAACCCTAAACCCTAAACCTTAAACCTTCCCCCACAAGGTTTCCCCCAAACAAATCAGGAAGTACGGTTCCATTCCAAGGCTCTCCGCGGCCCCGTCCAGTGCAGCAGCTTAGCGCGCAGCTGCGGAAGAAAGCCTTCCCCTTCCGCGCGCTCCTTTTCTGGGTGGGATCAGAGCAGGGCTCTGGAGTTTAGGGTTTAGGGTTTAGGGTTTAGGGTTTAGGGTTTAGGGTTTAGGGTTCAGGGTTTAGGGTTATACTTTAGGGTTTAGGGTTTCACGTTCAAGCCCGAAACCCTATGTGCACCTGAGAGCCAAGGGACGCCTGGCTGGAGGAACTGGATCGCCAACTCGGCCTGCAGATTTGCGAGGCTTTCCGCCGTTTTCCAAGGGGGGAGGGGGTGGGGGGGCATGAGAACCCAAGATCCGAATAGGGTTTAGGGTTTAGGGTTTAGGGTTTCGGGTTTAGAGGATTACTTTCTTGGGGTTTAGGGCAGGGTCTACTCAGCTGTTCCTACAACTGCAATTTCAGGCAGAACTAAAACAGTCTCCAACAATCGGTCTAGTTTAGAGCTTGATGAAGCTTAGGAAATTTGGGGGGGAAGGGAAGGGGGAGCCCTAGACCCTGAACTCTAAGAAACCCAAAACCAGAACAGCAGATGACACCAATGACTCCCCTCATAAAAGGAGCATGAACAAAAAAACAAGTAACTACACCTAATTCTGAGGGCGGCGCGAGAAGAAAATTCAGATGACACAAATCCCAAACTCCAAACCCCAAACCCCAAACCCTAAACCCTCAACCCCAAACCCTAAACCGCGGCTCCTCTTGAAACTCGGCCGAGTCCATGCCAGCAACGAGCGCCGGATACGAGACGCAAAAGTCGTACCGAGGCGGCAGGACGCACACCTCGGGGATTAGGGTTTAGGGTTTAGGGGTTAGGGTTTAGGGCCTTAAAGAATCATTATACAGGTCAGAGTTTCAGCGTTGGATTCCCTAAACCACAAACCCCGAAGACCGGCTTAATCCCCCCCTACTTTATAATCCCTATTACTCAGGCCAGTCAGTATAGGGGGGAACATCCCAAGAGATAGGATTATGGGGTTATACGGTTTGGGCCGCCCAGCGAAGAAAGACCCGTTATGACATAAGGATTCGTGGGTTTAGGGCTCAGGGTAGCACTATGGTCCGGTTAGATCCGTTCCTCGATGAAAGGGGGCCCCGGGGAGAACGTGCAACAACGGAATATGTGCAGCATCAAGATTTGATTCGACGTACTCAAGCTTTGTCCGATTCCCAGACTATGGGTTGCTACCGCCTTGACTTCACTATTATGTGCTTAAGAACCCCCCAAAAGAACATACATAATGATCGTCCCTGTATAGCGCTTATAAGGAAGAATGCTTCTCCTTTTTGGGTGGGTTCTTGGATGTTCCCCGCTATACTAACCGTCCTGAAAAGGGATTATACTGGGTGAGGACTGTTCGTATAATGGGGACGACAAAACTCAAGATAAAGGAAAAACAAATGAACAAATGAAGCACGGAATTTTGATGATATAGAGACATAGCACTAGTCTACTTATGTCTACTTAGTAGTCGGAGTAGCAACAGCAGGAGCATTTGTAACGGCCAGTGCCATAAACCCTAAATACCCTAACCCACACAAGAGGCCCAGACCCTAAAGCCCTAAAAGTCAGAAACCCAAGCCCGAAAGCCCATAAGCCCGAAAGCCCCTACGCCCGAAAGCCCCCCAAATCCCAAACCAAAAGCCCGAAACCCAAAACAACACCTCCTTAAAGGGCGAGGTACCAGCCCAAGGCTTTCCTGGCCAGGAGCCTCGAAGCCGCTGGGGCTCATGGGCGGGGCATCCTGGAGAAGCGTTTAGCTTAGCTTCGTTGTTTTTTTGTTTTAAAGGTTTAGGGTTTAGAGCCTCGGGTTTAGGGTTTAGGGCTAGGGTTTAGGGTTTGATGGGTTTAGGGGTTTGAGGGTTTCAGGGAATTTGGGGTTTCCTTGAGAAGCGTTTAGCTTAGCTTCGGGAGTTTGAAGGGGGTTGGAGGGGGTTTGTAAGGTTTAGGGGTTTAGGGTTTGGGAGATAGGGGTTTCCTGGAGAAGCGTGGAGCTTAGCTTCGGGAGTTTAAGGGTTTAGGAGACAGGTCGCCCGGTGGAGGAGATCGGTTCAGATAAGCCCTATAAGGGACCCCAAGCCTTGGACTTGTCCCTAAAAACCATCTCTGGCGCTCTTCAAAAGGTTGAGGATGACGGGGGCCTACGATGAAGGGGCCATGGGGGTCCGCCTGAACGGAACTTCTAAACCCTAAACCCTGAATCCTAAAGGATCTGAAATCTGAAGGCCCTAAACCCTGGCCTCTTTGAAAGCCCCGACGGCCTCCGAAACGACTGGGTTTAGGGCTCAAGGTTCGGGGCTTAGGGCTTACGGTTTCGGGTAACTGGATTTAGGGTTCTGGCGTTTAGCCCCCCAAAACATCCTAAAGCCAACATGCGCAAACCTTGAGCCGACACCTGAAGGGTTCGAAAGCCTTGTAGCCCAAAACCCTAAACCCCCTAAACCCTAAACCCTAAACCCTAAACCCTAAACCCTAAACCCTAAACCCTAAACCCTAAACCCTAAACCCTAAACCCTAAACCCCAACCCTAGAAGCCCAAAACTCTAAACCCTAAACAGCCCTAAGCCCTAAACCGGAGCCCTAAACCCAAAGCTCCGAACCTTAAACCCTAACCCCTAAGCTCTAGACCCTAAACGCCGCAAAGTCCTAAACCCCAAGCTCTTTACCCTTACTAATCCTAAACCCTACACGCCAAACCCTTAATCCCAAGCTCTCGAAACCCTAAACCCCAAGCTCTTAGGCCTAAACCCCAAACACCAAGCATTAACCCTAAACAGCTCTTGACCCTAAACCCCAAGCTCTTTGCCCTAAACACTAAGCCCCAAGCTCTTAACCCTAAACCCCAAAACCCAAACCCTAAACCCTGACCCTAAACCCCAAAGGCTACACCCTAATCTTGGGACCTCGGCGCAGCCTGCGAAGCGGCCGGTGCCCACCTCCCACCTGCGGGTTTCTCTTCTTTTTGTTTCTCTTTGCTGGCTGAGTTGTCTGGGTAAGAAAAGGTTTAAGGGTTTAGGTTTAGGGCTTAGGGTTTAGGGTTTAGGGGTTAAACTAAATAGTGCCTCACGATGATCACCACTGACATGCCAAACACATGGCCTCAACTGAGGAGGATCTGCTGCAAGTTTGGGCCCCTTTCGCATCATCCCTCACCCCTAATTAAAGTCCTAAAGGGTTTAGGGTTTAGGCTGTTTGGGGTTTAGGGTTTAGGATTTAGGATTTAGGCTGTTTAGGGTTTAGGGTTTGGGTGTGGTCCCGGGACCTGGGATAGCCGCCCCAGCGGAAGTGGCTGGCGAAGAAGCTGTGCTGAAGCATCTGGTCCTGGCGCGAGATAGCATATTCTTCCGGTTGAGGGTTTAGTTTGTGGGTTGGGATGTTCCCCTTTATACCAAAAGTCCTGAATATATTAGGGGGTACTATAATCCCTCTCAAGGACTGTTTGTATAAGGGGGAAACTTCCCAAGGTCGAGTTTTGAGGGATCACAGCGACGGTCCCGGACAACAAGCCCAAAGACCCCAAACCGATCCCTTAAGCCCCATAATCCTAACCCCGGTTTAGGGTTTAGGGTTTATAGGGTTATAGGGTTAAGGGTTTAGGGTTTAGGGTTTAGGGTTTAGGGTTTAGGGTTTAGGGTTTAGGGTTTAGGGTTTAGGGTTTAGGGTTTAGGGCGCACACACACACAAAGTGGCTTAGTAAGGAGCCCCAGCTATACAAATGGGGCATCCTATAACAGGGACTGAAATGGCCAGAATGTGCATAGGTTGCAAACCCCCAACCCCTGAGCCCCAAACCCTAAACACTGCAAACCCCGAAATGCCAAAACCCTCTACCCTACACACCCGCACATCCCCCAAAACACATAAACAACCACTAAACCCCAAACCCTAAACACCCGCAGGAAAAGATGAGAACAAAACTGAAACAACGAAAGCCCAGAAACCCTAAACCATAGACAAACCTAAACCCACTAAAGCGCCAAACCCTAAAAAAAGCCCAAAACCCGTCCACAGAGCGCACGCCCGTCACGAAGTGCTCGGCGGCCCCCGAGATGAACGAGAGGAGGGCTTCGTAGATCTGCCTTTTCAGAGGGGGACTGAAGGCTTGGGGTTTAGGGTTTCGGGTTTCGGGTTTAGGGTTTAGAGTTTCGAGTTTTGTGTTCTGGGCCGAAATAAACAAGCTAAGCCCCCTGAGAACACTAAATCCCTCAGCCCTACAAGCCACAGGCTAAGAAAACAGCTTGGGCTTCAAAAACTTTAGGGATTAGGGCTTAGGGTCTAGGGTCTAGGGTTTAGGGTTTAGGGTTCAGGGTTCAGGGTTCAGGGTTTAGGGTTTAGGGCCTTGAAACACTTGGGAGTCGCGGCCTGTCCGGCCGGAGGCTCATGACACCCACCGAGATCTCCGAGCCTGGGGGGCTGGAATCCTAACCCTAAACCCTACACCCGAAACCCTAAACCCCACGCCCTAAACCCTAAACCCTAGACCCTAAACCCTAAACCCTAAACCCTAAACCCTAAATCCGAAGCCGACATGTCTGTTTGGAGGGGGGTAGCTGCGGGCTTCGGGGGGCATTTAATGGGGCTCACCGTTCTTTTCGGGCATCGACGGCTTTAGGGTTTAGGCTTTAGATTCTTAAGCCGTAGTTCTTGGTAGCGCACTACCCATATTGAAATAAGGGCACCCATTTTTTGGTTGGTTACTGTATAAGGGAACCTTGAACCAAAAAAAAAGGGTGACAAGGGTACCACTGGGCTGCCAAGGTTATTAGAGGGTTTAGGCGCTTGTTGGGCCGGGAATTGTAGGGTTTGCAGACTCATTGGGCTTTAAGGATTTCGGGTTTCGGCTAGCTTAGGCTCTAGGTTTGGGATCGCTGTCGGCTCGAGGACTTCTCATCTTACCGGTTCTGAGTAGGGAATTCGGGAAATCGCTCCCTATTTTGAACACATAAGGTGCCTAACTCCCTGATGTCCCCTACTAATGACAAGTGAGTTGCATCCTCAGCCCTAAATCCTAAACCCTAAAAGGGCCCTAGGGTTTGGCTCAAAGCGGCTCCACAGAAAGACTTTCTTTCAAGCTCACCAAGTGTGACGGGGCCTTAGTGGGGGCCTGCGAGAGCCATGGGTTTAGGGTTCAGGGTTTAGGGTTTAGGGTTTAGGGTTTAGGGCTATTCGGTTAGGACAGCTTCGGACACCTAAGGAGCGGCTCCTTTGTGACGCTTGGGATAGAGATTTGCTTGTTCTGGAGGCCGCTCTGAACCTCAAAATCCTAAACCCTAAACCCTAAAAACCCAAAAAAAACCGAACCCTAAACCCTAAACCATAACCAAAAGGCTGCAACCCAGCAGCCTAAACCCTGAACCCTAAACCCTAAACCCTAAACCATAAACCATAAACCCTAAACCCTAAACCCTAAACCCTTGGGAGTCTTCAGCTCAATCGGCCTGTCCCGTCGCGGGAGAGGTGGGCTGGTGCAGCAAAGGCCACCTCGTCCTGACTTGAGCTTAGGGCTTAGGGCTTTGGGGTTTGGGGTTTGGGGGTAGGGGTTAAGGGTTAAGGGTTAAGGGTTAAACGTTAAGGGTTAAGGGTTTTGGGTTAGGGTTTAGGGCTTACGGTTTTGGGTTCAGGAGTTGGGATATGGGGTTTAGACGTTTAGGTGAGGCTCCAGGGTTCCAGGCGAGACGGTTCATTGGGTTTAGGGCTTCAGCTTTGGGAGGTGCGGAAGTCTTCCGGCTTCAGGCGCCACACGGCCACACATCTAACTGAGCCTTGGGGATGTTGAAGACACCCTAAACCCTAAACCCTGAACCCTAAACCCCAAACCCTAAACCCTAACAACACAAGTCTGCCAAGCAGCCGGCAAGGCGAAGAGCTCATCAATGGGCCCAGTCACCAGAGTGTCTGCGTCCTTTGTATTAATAGGGTTTAGGGTTTTGGGTTTGGGGTTTGGGGTTTAGGGTTTAGGGCTTTAGGGTTCTAGGGTTTTAGGGTTTTGGTAAAGGGGTATAAATGGGGAAATAAAAACCTTTAATCTTATTCCCTTTATTGCCTTACATAGTCCTAAGTGCATTCAGGGGTATAAGAAGGGACCCGTACAAGGGGCCCTTAATCTTATTCCCCTATATAACCTGTACAGGTACCTTACATAGCCCCTATATACATAAGTAGCCCCCCAAATAACCCCTAAGGTCCCTTATTATAAGGGTCCCTCCTGTAGTCCCTTGATGGTACTATGGGATCCCCAAGGTGTGATTCGCCACTCCAAAAAAAAGGGAAGTGCCCCAAGGTTGAGAGGCCAAACAACCCAAAACCCTAAACCCTACACTACGGTTTAGGGTTTAGGGTTTAGGGTTTAGGGTTTAGGGTTTAGGGTTTAGGGTTTAGGGTTTAGGGTTTAGGGTTTAGGGTTTAGGGTTTAGGGTTTAGGGTTTAGGGTTTAGGGTTTAGGGTTTAGGGTTTAGGGTTTAGGGCTGGTTCGAAAGGGCCTAGGAACCCTTCATAAGCCTGGTTCGGCCCGAACATCTCGACAGCAGTTGCTTTTCATCAGGGGCTTCTTCCTTGGGATCGCAAACCCGACAGCACACCCGACAGCACACCTAAGGCGCCCGTGCCACACACTTCCCATAATGCTTAAAGCCCTAAACCTTAAACCCTAAGCCCCATTACGGAAGGGGAGGGGAGTGGGGGGGGGGGGGGGGGGGGGGGGGGGGGAGGGGTTTAGGGTATAGGGTTTAGGGTTCAGGGTTCAGGGTTTAGGGTTTCGGGTTCAGGGTTTAGGGATCCTATGATTCTAGGTGTCGCTTTGGCATCATTAGGAGCTTCGTTGTCAAAGGGACATACCGATCCTCCTGCCACACCACGAAACCCAAAAGTACATATACAGATACAAATACATATACATATGCAACCCCGGGCAAAGTCCAGTTAGGAAGGGGTTCCCTCCCAACCCCAAACCCTAAAGCCTAAACCCTAAACCCTAACCCCTAAACCCGAAACCCGAAAGCCTTAACCCTAACCCTAAACCCCTAAGGGTTCAGGGGGTTAAGGCTTCGCGTGCAGGGCTGGAGTTTGGGCGCAGAAGGCTGCACAGGAATCTGGGCCCCGAGCTGCCTTGCTTTATCAGGTTTAACGTTGGGGGTTTAGGGTTTAGGGTTTAGGGTTTACGGTACTTCTTCCTGCCCAGTGGCCAGGTAGACGATGCGGCGGTACTGAGTCAAGCTCCACAGCTTGATCCTCTGCTGGCCACTAAACCCTAAACCCTAAACCCTGCACCCTAAACCCTAAAACCTAAACCTTAGGTCTGAAGCCCTCCAACTCAGAAAAAGAAGCATGAACCCCTAGAACAACTGAAAAGCCCGAAACAAAATCACTGGAACACGGCTTAACTTATTGTGATTGTCATCACTATTTGTTGCATACTCCGATATTTATATTCTGCTTGCTACTTATTTGCTATTTTCCTTTTTGTGTCTTTAACGTTCTTAACGTTCCATTTTTTGGAGGAGGGAAGGGGAGGAGTCTGCAGTCGAACCTCTGACAACAAAAGCTGAGGAAACCGCTTCAGCCACCAGGAGAGCTCAATGGTCTCCAGGTCTTCCGTCTGGTTCTGCGGCTGCCGTAGGACAGTTTGGGGCATTTCAGGGCCTTCAGGGCAGTCTAGGGCGGTTTAGGGCCTGTAGGATTTGGGGTTTAGGGCTTGGGGTTTAGGGTTTAGGGTTTTTTGAGAGAGAGAGAGAGAGAAAACACAAAAATCAAAAAGAGAACGAGAGAGGGCAGAGAGGGCGCGAGAGAGAGAGAGAGAGAGAGAGAGAGAGCCCTGAAGCCACCTCCCCACAAACTGAGGAGCTTCCAAGGCCAGCTTCGGGATAACTAAGGGTCAGCGGGTTTGTAGTCCAGGGTTTAGGGTTTAGGGATGTAGGGTTTAGGGATTCAGGGTTTAGGGTTTTGGGTTTAGGGCTAGGGTTTAGGGCAGTTTAGGGCTTCGGATGTAGGGTTTAGGGCTTGAGATTCAGCCGAAGGGGTCCCCACGCAAGACAAAGGCATGCGTGCCAACCAAGATTGGGCGAAGCACCCAGAACCTTCTGAACCGATATGTGTTCAGGGTAACGCTGGACCCCACGGCCACGAAAGAAAAACAAATCCTACAACCCAAACCCCACAGGCCCAAAGATCCTAAACCCTAAACCCTAAACCCTAAACCCCAAACCCCAAACCCTAAACCCTAAACCCTACACCCTAAACCCTAAAAAAACGCCTCGAATCCTCCAGCCGGAAGCCCTGCAGGCGGCGGCCTCCACCTCCTCATCCCGCTCATCCCCGCGGAGAGCGCCGGTCTCGCCTGGCGTGCGAAGGGCTGAGGATTCGGGATTTAGGGTTGAAGGGGGGTTTAAAGGGTTTGTAGGGTATTATTGAGTTTTTTATAGGGTTTCATAGGGTTGAAGAGGGTTTCAAAGGGTTTGTAGGTGTTCATAGGGTTTTGTAGGTTTTTGGGGATTTTCGGGTTTGAGGTCATAGAGTTTAGAGTTTAGGGTTTATCGGGTTTAGGGTTTGTAGGGCCTAGGGTTCAGGGATTCGGCATTTAGGGTTTTTGTGCAGGTGGCGGGCTGAGAGCCCGAATGCTGAGAGTGAAGTTTTCTGGTTGGGGCCTTGACGCCACTTCAGAAGGAGGAGACAGACAGACACACAGACAGACAGACAGACTGAGAAACAGAGGGAGAGATAGCGAGAGAGCGAGAGAGAGGGGGGGGGGGGGTGTTGCTGCGGCGCAGGGCCAGCCTCGTTGCTTTCGGCGCGACGGCACCACCACGCCGTCGCTGCCAAAAGTGGACAGGACCTTGGGGACTTGTCAAAAGCGGGGGCACGGCGCTAAGGCGCTGTTTGCAGGGTTTACCTGAGACTCTTTTTACCTACCGTTTTGTAGTAACTACCCTTTTTCGTAGGTATAACCCATAAAAGCGTATGTAAAGAGGGTCCCAGGGAGGGCTTATACGGCTGGAGAAACGCCACCCTCAACCCTGACAAATAGTTCGGAACCCTAAGCCCTGAACCCAAAAACCCGAAATCCACTATTTGCTTAAGAACCGCCCCAAAAAAATGAAAATGCTCGGCCTGAAAAATTGCAATACAGGGGTTGTCGTCTTTATATGTTAAATATACACACATATATATATATATACGTATATATATATATATATATATATAATCTCTGGTTTTGTTTTTTTTTTTTTTTTTTTTTTTGTCGGAGGGGGGGTTTCTTGAGCAAATGCAAATCGTAGAAATAACGCACACTTCTGAAGCCCAATGACATAGCCACAGCACAGGTCTGTCCAGTCTCCATGTTGTAGAGCAGGTTTAGGGTTTAGAGTTTAGGGTTTAGGGTTTCGGGTTTAGGGTTTAGGGTTAAGGGTTTAGCGTTTAGGGTCAACGCGCGGCTGGAGAGAGCGGTTCTTCACCCCAGGAGGTCGATCCCAAAACCCTAAGCCCGACTACTAGATTGTGAGACGCGCTCTCTTTTTGCTTTGGTGCTTTTGGGTCCCTAAACCCTAAACCCTAGACCCTAGACCCTAAACCCTAGACCTTAAACCCTAAACCCTAAACCCTGAACTCTAAACCCTAAACCCTGGGTTCAAGCCTGCTGTCTTCTGCTCTGAGACTGGCGCGAGGGGCGTCAATCCGTCCCCTTCCAGCAAAGCCCGAACTTCGTCATTGAGGGCAGCCTGTCGCCGGACAGCTGTCGAACGTTTTGATATGTACTTCTTTACTTATGTATTTGTATATTTATTATTCTTGCACTATTCTTCATGATTATTACTAGTATTATTAAATGGCTATTCTACGATTCTAATACAATTCTATTTGTCGAATTGGTATATGGTTAGAAGATTATTAATGTATATTTGTAGTATCTTGTACATTCTTGAACTTAGTTTGATACTACTGTTGTTGCTATGCTAGTTTTAGTACTAATATGTTCATTAGTTTTTTTGTGGGCGGGAGGAACATCGACGTGAATCTCAACGGCACTAAACGCCTAAACTCTAACCCTCGACCCCAAACCATGCCAAGAGAAAACACAACCTGCTGACCGAGAGTTCTTTGCACAGCCTTGCGCGCCCAAATCCCCGGTTAGGGGTTTAGGGTTGAGGGTTTTACTTGGAAGTTCATTGTACTTATTAACCAATTATAACGGTACGGGCTTCTAAGTGGGTTCTAAGTACAGTTATAACTGGTGAATAAGTACCCTAAACCCTAAACCCTAAACCCTAAACCCTAAACAGTTATAACTAGGGATGTAGGGATTAAGGGGGGTTTCAGGGGTTTAGGGATCTCCTGGAGCCCTGGGAGGATGCACAAAGTAGATTCCCGGAACCAGGGTTTAGGGTTTAGGGTTTAGGGTTTAGGGTTTAGGGTTTAGGGTTGAGGGGATTTAGGAGGGTTTAGGGCTTGGGGGGTTGAGGGGTTGAGGGTTTAAGGGATCCCGCTTAAGGGTTTCGTTGAGAATCACCCATAGTAGTGCAGGGTACACACTTGGGGATCTCCCAGACCCCTTAAGGGATGCAAAAAGCAGATCCCCTTAAGGGGTTTAGGGTTTAGGGTTTAGGGTTCCGAAGAACGACCCTAATACTAGTGTAGGGTACACTATGTGAGGTTCTAAGACTTAGTTGCTGAAATCATAAGCCCCAAAAAAGTGTACACTTTCAGCTCTATAGGGGGGCTACAGTATCCCAAAAAGTGTAAAGTGTTCTCACTCAGCTACTCAGTCTACGTTTTGGGTCCTCCCATTTTGGGTCCTCACACAGGGGTCTGGGCTGGGTTCGTTGCACACCGTTGCGCACTCGAATCTCAAGCCAAACCCGGGGGACTAAATCAACCCCCAAAATTGGGGTCATGTACCCTGCACTACTATGATGCCTACTAAGGTATACTCTACCTTGAACTACCATAATTCCTACTAAGGTATATTGTACCTTGAACTACTCTAATTCCTACTGAGGTATATTATGAACCATAAGCCCTTTTAGGGTTCATTTGGTCCCCACGGAAGCTGGCGCAGGAGGCATGCACCCTTCCAGCCTTTTCCGGGTTCAGAGGCCTTAGGGTTGGTGGGATGTTAGGGTTGGTGGGATGGGGTTTACACGATTTAGGGTTTTTTGGGTTTAAGGACTTATAAGGTTTAGGGTTTTCTTTCGGGCATCCTACACCAAAGCGAGCCTCTGTCATCAGGACCAAGAAAGGTCGAGGGCTGAGCCGCACGTTGGCGTCGCTGGCCACGCGTTGCTCCGCTCGCCGGACTGACCGGGCCATTACCCGCACCGCCTCCGCGTACACCAGCAGGGCGCGCCTGGAACCCAGATGGTTTAGGGTTTAGGGTTTCTGGTGGGAGGATCCCAAAACTAGAACACCCTCAAAATACCCTACCACTACTATTGGGTGAATTTTGGGAGCCCTTAGGGGGATCCTCCCAAAGGGGTCTGGGAAGGAGTGTTGGGGAAGAGCCCAAACATGGGATCCTGAATTGCTTAATTGTGATGCGCAGTCGAAGCCCTTTGACAGTCACTTCTACTCTAAGGGTAGCTTCATGGTCCCTGAATATGGTCCCTTGCGTTCTTCAAAGGGCTCTGAAGGGTGGGCCGTTGGGTTTTAAAGGGCACATCAAGGTTTCCCATTTAAATGTGTCACGCAGAGCCATCACCCAGGCAAGCTAAGGCGCGCTAACCAAGTAGTTACTTAAGTTTCGCTCGCAGTTGTATACACATATGCATGTGTATTGCCCAGCTGAAACCCCAAACAGTGCGAGCCATGGGCTGGCAACCCTAAACCCTAAACCCTAAACCCTCAACCCTAAACCCTAAACCAGCCGGGTTTTTCAGGGCTTTGGGTGGGAATTCGGAGGCCCTAAATCCTAAACCCTGAACCCCAAACCCCAAACCCTAAACCCTAAGCCCTAAACCCTTTTGGGGGGGCACTAAGGAGGGCACCTCCCCGCTTCGTTGGCGATGGCATCGTCGTCGGAGAGCCTGCGCTGGTGGCTGAGGGATCCGTCGCTCTCTAAACTTCGGCCTGAGGCTAAGGTTAGGGTTTAGGGTTTAGGGTTTAGGGTTTAGGGTTTAGGGTTTAGGGTTTAGGGTTTAGGGTTTAGGGTTTAGGGTTTAGGGTTTAGGGTTTAGGGTTTAGGGTTTAGGGTTTAGGGTTTAGGGTTCAAGGTTCAGGGTTTAGGGTTTATCGGGTTTAGGATGGGGTTCGGGGTTTAGGGCTTAGGGCCTGGGGCTTAGGGATTTTCGGGTTTTTAGGGTTTTGAGGGGTTAGGGTTTAGGGTTTAGGGTTTAGGGTTCAGGGTTTACAGCCCTAAACCATACATCCATTCTGAGCCTCCTAAACCCTAAGCCCTAAATCCCAAAAAAGAACTGACTAAACCCAAAACCCTGAACCCTAAACCCTAAACCCTGAACCCTAAACCCTAAACCCTAAACCCTAAACCCTAAACCCTAAACCCTAAACCCTAGAAAACCCTGAACCCTATAATTGCCGACTTACAGCCCAGGAGCAGGGTCGCCCAAGCTTCGCGCGGTTCGGCGTCTGCCAGCCTGGTGGACCAACCCTCATGGGCTACTAAGGCTTCTTAGGGCTCAGGGAAAATGCGACTTAAGGGCCTTTAGGATTTGGGGTTTAGGGCTTGGGGTTTAGGGTTTAGGGTTTATAGAGAGAGAGAGAGAGAGAGAGAGAGAGAGAGACAGAGAGAGAGAGAGAGAGAGAGGGAGAGAGAGAGGGAGGGAGGGAGGGAGGGAGGGAGGGAGAGAGAGCGAGCGAGATCGGGTTTAGGGTTTAGGCCTCATAGGGTTTAGGGCTTAGGGATTATAGGGTTTATAGGGTTTAGGGTGTTTAGGGCTTATGAGGGTTTAGAGGGTTTAGGGTTTATAGGGTTTAGGATTCGCGCGTGAGCACAAAAGCCAACACCTTGTGTCCAGCAGCGCGGCCGAAGCCACGGCGGGGGCTCCAATCATGTCCTCGGAGATGTGGTTTGGGAATGGCTCAGGCGGCTAAGGCCCTCATACTCTGTGTATATATATATAATATTGATAGATATACACTAACAGGAATGTTATATATAACTACATATGATGAAAAACGCAATGCGGAAAATGATATGCAATATAGTCTTTAGCATTTGAGATGCAATATTAATATCTAGTATCTGAAATCGATATTGAATACTCACGAGAATGAAGATATCATGTGCTGTAGAAGTATGTAGAAAGAAGTGCTACAGGCCTGACAGGTCCCCATGTCCTGTTGCTCGTTATTTAGGGTTTGCGGGCTTTAGGGTTTTTAGGGTATTTAGGGTACTTAGGGTTTCTAGGTTAGGACTGCCCCGGATTTAGGGCTTAATTTAGGGTCTAGGACTGACCTGTATGTAGAATCGCCCCAGCCCTGCCCAAGCTGGTTCAGCCCAACCACGAGAACGCTCTTGTGCCTAGCCCTGCAGGGCTTTGGTTTCATGTAGCGCACTGTTTTTCACTTCCTCGACAGCTCACCCAGAGTCATGTCCCCGGGTGACCAGGATCGGCGCCCTCGCCCGGGCCAGCTCATGACGGCGCTGCGCGGCCGCGCCTGCGCCTGGGCCGCTGCCCTCCTCCTCTTCTCCTCCTGCCAGTCCTTCATTGTCATCCAGTCTGAAGACATTCGCTTGTCAAAGCAGGGATTCTGCAACAATGCCAACAATGCTGAGAAGAAAAAACCTTAAACCCTAAACCTTAGTCCCTAGACCCTAAACCCTGAACCCTAAACCCTGGATCCGAACGACCAGTCACCCTGCAGTCCTAAAAAAAAGACCAAATAGCAACTCCGCGGACAAGAGCCCTAAACCCTGAAACCCTAAGAACCCTAAAGCCACCAAGAGACTAAGCCCGCAACACCCCTGAAAGCCCAAAAACCCAAAGCCCAACAGCCCCAAAACCTTTCACCCCCCCTCCCCCCCCCCGGCCCAACAAAAACAAACTTGAAAACCCTGAAGCCCCCTAAACCCTAAACCCTAAACCCTAAACCCTAAACCCTAAACCCTAAACCCTAAACCCTAAACCCTAAACATCAAGAAGACGAGCCCTCGGTTCCTGGATCACCGCGGCCCTGAGTCTGGGATGCACCACGGCCTCTGCGGAGTGACTGGTGCTCGTAAGGAACTGAAAGTAAGTTCGGGTTTAGGGTTTAGGGTTTAGGGTTTAGGGTTTAGGGTTTAGGGTTTAGGGTTTAGGGTTTAGGGTTTAGGGTTTAGGGTTTAGGGTTTAGGGTTTAGGGGTTTAGGGTTTAGGGGTTTAGGGGTTAGGGGCTTAGGGTTTAGGGGTTTAGGGCTCAGGGTAAACTACGCTCCCTTAAACGGTAGATGTTGCTGCGTCCTGCAAAGCATATGAATGATGTCGACGATTGCGGACGGTGGGCCACGCAGTGTAGGTGGTTTCCCTTGTGGGGCCTGCCTGTGCAAGGACATATATCATACTGACATGAAAACCACATGAAGTTCTAAAGCAAAAAAAGGCCTCGTATCCTTAGGACGGTAATTGTCATGGAAGTTCGTGAAAAGCTCCCCGAGGTAGGCCCCGACACGAACCCGAACCATTCAGGGCTTCTGCTCAAAGGAGTCCAACTGTGCTGCAATACCGGGGGGGTGGAGGGGTTTAGGGTTTAGGGTTTAGGGTTCAGGGTTTAGGGTTTAGGGTTTAGGGCTTTTTTGGGTTTAGGGCCAGTTTAGGGTTCGGGTATAGGGTCTGGGGTCGAGGTTTTCAGGTGAGTTTCAGGGTTGGGGTGGTCTACGACGAAGTCGGGCGAGGTTTTTAGTCGCTTCTTCTGCTCAGGGAACCTCCTGGGAGGTTCGAGTGGGAAGGCTTCCCTGCGTCCTCCTCGCTCCATCGTAGCTGCCGCTCGAGGTTGACGTATACTGGAGAATTGCGAGTAGCGGTGGGATCCCAGCTTGGCAGCCTGTGCGCAGCTGCTTGCGCTAGCATCTGGACTCATGGTTGGTGCCTGTGGCCAGCTAGCAGTTGAACTCATATTGGCTGGCTCGGGCGGTAGATCACTTGCCGCTGGCTGCTCAACATCTAGACCTCTCTCATAGGCCCTGGACAAGGGCAGTGGCTCGATCCAATAGAAACGAGGTATGACGACTCTGTAGGTGGGGGTGGAGTTCCCGGCCTTCTTGTCTCCTCCTCGATCTCCTGGAGAGATCCTCAAAGCAATGTCACGTTTCAGGTCTACTATTGAACAGCGGCCCGCTTGCAAACGAACACTCGAGCAAAAACTAAACCAAGTGCACCACTTTACTTGGCTGACCTCTGAACCCGTCCTAGAAAAGTAACACTAGGCTCCTTATTGTAGATTCTACCCGCCAGAAGAAAGCCAAGCATAAGACACGGTGCTCCAACCCCAAACACTCCACCTCACAAGAGTCCTTCTGAAAAACCTAGACCCACCATGAACCACAGAGGGAAAGGGGAAACCCCAAACCTGAAGCGCCTTAACCCTGAACCCTGAGCCGTAAACCCACCACGGGATGCCCTAAACCCACACCTCAACCTAAACCCTGAACCCTAAACCCGACAGCCTCGCCCTGAACCCGAAATCCACCATGAACACCACGAAGAACCCGGGGAAAGAATAGAGGGGGAGGGGGGAAGGAAGGGAAGGGAAGGGATGGGAGGGAGGGGGGGTTAGGGTAACACTACCCCCTGACATGAGATGACCACTAGGAAGAAACCCAAAGGCTGCACACTATCGTAGGTTCTTGAGTGCTGGTATCTCACCGAAAACATACAATAAAGCTACATCTGCAAGCCCTTGTAACTTGAAATTATTCGAACAGTCAAAACAGAACCTCCTGGCAACCTTCCTTGAAACTTCCCATAAACTCCTCAACCATAAACCTAAACCAAAAACTCCAAAAACCCTAAACTTCTAAATCTGTAAACCCTAAAACCCTAAACCGCTTAACCCCCTAAATCCTAAACCCCTAAACCCCCCCTAAACCCCCTGAATCCCTAAATCCTAAACCCCTAAACCCTAAACCCCTAAAGCCCCTTGATCACTAAATCCCTAAACCCTAAAACCCTAAAACCCCTAAATCCCTAAATCCACTATGAACCCTACATTGGACCCCGCCTCAAACTCTCCGCGGGCGGCGCCGGCCGCCAACGCCGAGACCCACTGGCCCTCCCGGGTCCATTCCGCCTTGAGGGTGGGTTGAGAGTTTAGGGTTTAGGGTTTAGGGTTTAGGGTTTAGGGTTTAGGGTTTAGGGTTGAGGGTCTGGGGTTTTGGGCTTAGGGCTTGGGTTTTGGGGTTTAGGGTTCAGGGTTTAGGGTTTAAGGATTGGGGTCTAGGGTTTAGGGTTGAGGGTCTAGGGTCTAGGGTTTAGGGTTTAGGGTTTAGGATTGAGGGATAGGGTCTGTTGGGAGCTTCGGGTTTAGGCTTTAGGGTTCACGATGGTGTCTTGACGGTGTTTTGGGATCGCGGGCCCTGAGCCAACCTATGAATACCCAGGACCCAACTCCCAAACATACAAGGGCTTACGGATTTTACAGGATCTTGATCGGGCTTGCAGGGCTGAGAGTATACCTTAACCCGGAACCCTAAACCTTAAACCCTAAACCCTAAACCCTGAACCCTAAACCCTGAAGCCAGAATGAAATCTACTCTGGTCCACCCTGCGCCCTCTCATCCCTCATGCGCGGACGTCTCCAAAAAGTAAGTGAGACCCTAGCTAGACCCATGAGTCACCTAGGAATATGTGAGAACCCCAACCCCAAAGAAAGGGAATAAGGGCCTACTCTGGGTCCTAGCTAAACCCTAAGCCCTCAGCCCCAAACCCTAAACCCTAAACCCCAGACCCTAAACTCCGAACCCCAGTCCAAAAACTTTAGGCAATCCAAAGAGCCCCCCTCATCCGTAAATGAACTGAAGACACCAAGCATTAGGATTTAGGGTTTAGGGTTTAGGGTTTCGGGTTTTTTATAAGCCGAATATACCCGATATGAATCCCTGAAAACTCCATAAAAGCCCCAAGCAAAACCTACAAACCCCGTAAGCCCTTATAAGCCCAACAAGCGCTAAACCCTGGACTCCTACACCCCTAAACCCTAAACCCTAAACCCCCCAATCCCTAAACCAAGTCACACCCCCTCCGAGCCACCTGCTGCGGCACGGCGCAGGCCGGGCAGAGAGGGGCTTGTGCGTGGAACTCGCGGCAGCGTAGGGCCCAAGGCCTTGACCGCATGTTGGATGCTTGTTCCTTCTTGTAGGGTTAGGGTTTAGGGTTTAGGGTTTAGGGTTTAGGGTTTAGGGTTTAGGGTTTAGGGTTTAGGGTTTAGGGTTTAGGGTTTAGGGTTTAGGGTTTAGGGTTTAGGGTTTAGGGTTTAGGGTTTAGGGTTTCAGTGACGATTGAGGGTCTAAGGGTTGAGGAGATCAAAGCCTTGAGAGTTTAGAAGATGAAGGGCACTTTTGGGTTGATTTTAGCTTGGTTGAAGAAAGCTCCGGGGTTTATGGTTTAGGGTTTAGGTACATGCGAATTGCTGTAGTATCCTGACCCGGAAAAACCCTCAAAGCAGGCACCTCGCACCCTAAACCCAGAGCCCCCCCCCCCCCCCCCCCCCGCCCTCTCCTCCCCCCAAAAAATATAAGAGGAGATAGCAGGTTTTTAAGGCTCCCGGTTAACCTTGAGATGTTCCCCCCTAGACTAACAGAAGGCCTTTTAGCATAGGGGGGGAACATCCCAACTGAAACCTCAAAAGCCAAAGCCCCGAAAAGATAAATCCCCAACCCAAATAGCCACCCCCAAATCCAAACCCTAAACCCTAAACCCTAAGCCCTGAAAACCTAAAACCAAACCTAAAATGTCGAATCTCAGATCTCCACCTCCTCGCCGTCAGCTTCTGCAGCTTTTCGAGCAACTGCCAGATTGGCCAACCGCCTCGCTGCCAAAGTCAGATTTCGGGTTTCAGGGTTTAGGGTTCCAGGGATTAGGGTTGAGGGTTCCAGGGTTTCAGGGTTCCAGGGTTTTAGTTTCAGCTGTAGGGTTGAATGCAGGACTCGGGAGGTCGGTGTCGGTATATGGGGATGAGGAGCGATCCAAATTCTGGGCCCTGGTACCCTAAAGACTCTAATCGGCACAGAACATGGGCCCATGAATCAGATCAAGCCCCATATGGCTGCTAGACCCCTACACCCTCAATCCCAAACAGACCACAATTTGGGATGTTGCCCCCCTTAGTAGGGATTGCAATGGGGGTACTATAATCCCTATGAAGGGCTGTTAGTATAAGGGGGAACATCCCAGAACACAGTCAGCAACAATCAGCACACACGGCGCAGCTGAGAGGATGGTGCTTCCACCTGCGTAGACCCGCAGCAGAGCCCTTGTATCCTCCCGGCGAGCTGCCTGCGCAAGCGCACTCTAAACCCTAAACCCTAAACCCTAAACCCTAAACCCTAAACCCTAAACCCTAAACCCTAAACCCTAAACCCTAAACCCTAAACCCTAAACCCTAAACCCCAAACCCTAAACCCTAAACCTAATTAGCGGGGGTTGAGGGTTTACCTTGGACCCTCTTTACTACAGGTACTACAGGTTTATGGCTTAGACCTACTGACTAAGGGTAGTTCCTACTAAACTGTAGGTAAAGAGGGCTCCAGGTAGTGTAGGGCTGAGAGAAGCCAGCAAGACAAAACACACAAGCTGAACAAACGTCAGATTCGACTCCCATGACTAAGATATTCGGCATGATGCTGTGTGGAGGCTAGCAAGGGCTCGTCTAACTGGTTCTTAATAGGGAATGAGGGAGTGAAGGTACCCTATGTACTCCCTCAAAGGGTGTAATAGGGCCCAAATTCCCTCATTCCCTACTAACAACCAGGGGCTCATCCTACAAACGACACCCTCAATGCTCAGCTTCCCGAACCCACCCTATAGCGCCTAAATCATACTCCGAAACAACCTAAACCCTAAACCCTAAACCCTAAACCCTAAACCCTAAACCCTAAACCCTAAACCCTTAACCCTTACAAACCCTAAACCCTCAACCCTAAACACCCTAGGATCCTGAACCCTAAGGTAGATTCCCCGGTTAGCCAGGCGAGGGGTATTATGCTATCTGGCCAGGCCATTTTTTCGAAAATCCGGTCCCGTTGGTTTGCAAGAACTGCTTGCTAGCCCAGCACCCGTATCACAAAAAGGGGCACCCACTTTTGTCCTCATCAACCATAAGACCCCTTGGAAATGACCCTAACCCTAAACCCTCAAAACCAAAAACCCTAAGCGCCAGTTGACTCTTCTTACTAGCACCCCACTGGGAATCGTGACCCTTGATCGTCTCCCATAAGCATACGAAGGCAGAGTGAACCGTAAGTCCCTAAATCCCTAAACCCCTACCTACATCCCTCAAGCCTCAGCCCTAGAATCTACCGAATTCACCCCCCCCCCCCCCCCCCCCTCCCCTCCCTAAACCCTAAACCCTAAACCCTAAACCCTAAACCCTGAACCCTAAACCCTAAACCCTAAACTCCCATGCGACACCTCGGCGGCACGATGCCACGCGGCCTCGCCGGCCTCGACCGCCTCGAGGATCTTCCCTGGGACCCCAAGGGACCGAAACCCGAAGCGCGAAGCCCTAAACCCTAAACCCTAAAGCCTAAACCCTAAACCCTAAACCCTAAACCCTAAACCCTAAACCCTAAATCCTAAACCCTAAACCCTAAACCCTAAACCCTAAACCCCAAACCGAGATCTGGACACCCAAAGTATGGGGGGGGGGGGTTAGATAGGGTTTGAAGGGCTTTCGAGGCTCTAGGAGTTCGGGCTTGAAAAAAAAATTCTGGTTTAGGGTTTAGGGTTTAGGGTTTAGGGTTTTTTGGGGGATTTTTCTGGTTTAATGGCGTGCGTCTGAGGTCCTCAAGCCTCTTGGCCTTGATTTTGCTTCGGGGATGCCAGGGACGACATGTCCCATTCAGGTTCAAGAC